CCTTAGCCGCTTGAGCCACAGGCGCCGAGCCAATACTTTTATTTTTCATAGGAACTCATTATCACTTTAAACCAGAAATATTCTTGTGCTAATGATGTTAGGAAAAAGAACAGGAATTTTTTCCTGCTTAGAGATATGTAATTATTGGGGTGGCGCCTGTGGCTCAAAGGAGTAAGGCGCCTTCTCCATATGCTGGAGGTGGTGGGTTCAAACCCAGCCCTGGCCAAAAACTGTAAAAAAACAGACCAAAAAATATATACATGTTGAATTTCTGGCTACATTAAAAATAAAATACAGTTTCAAATTAGATACTAGATTCCCCCAACTCCCTGTTTTTTTTTTTCCTTCAGTACAAGTTTTAACTTGTTTACCAGACTTAATAGGCTACAGATTTTTAAGTGCTTTTAACAAGGACCACTAAAGGACCCTGTTTACATTATTAGCCCAAGTAAAACACAGATTGCTTTTTTACAAGTAGCTGTCCAAAAGTAAGGAGTTCTGCCATACTCAGAAGGTATCTTCCATATCTGGGTCCAAAAGTGCTTATTTTGGTCTGGTGCTTAACTTGGAATCTGAGGAATCAGTAGTGAGTGGGTCTGGAAACGGCTGAGATTCTGAAGCTAGTATGTGGAATTAACATCTTACTACTTCTGCTTATGTCTCATGGGTCAGTTTTATATGTGTTGAGGCCATGTTTAGCTGCAAGGAAAGAAAATTTGTAGCTATGTGCTACATGCTCAAGAAAAAATACAGACGAAACACAAAAAACTTGGGTGCTCATTAGCATTCTGTCATACTAAGAAGTACTGGCATGATAATAGTGTACAGGAGAAACAACATCCATTTTAGATTTTTGCTAATACCTAAAATTAATGTACCCAAGCAAGTATATATGCCAGGTAAGTACTTATTCTGTGCCAGGCACTGTTGTAATCAGTTTGGAAGTATGGGCTCATTTCTGATACTGGTCTTAAAGGCAGGTACTCTGTCACCACTCTACCATTTTACATAATATAGAAGAGGAAACTGAACCACTTAGGTAGGTAGCAGTATTTGTGGAGCTGGGATTCTTGAATACCCAGGCTTTGTGGCTTCAGAGGTCTTCCTCCTAAACTGCACTCTGCTGTCTCTATGTACAAGGTTGATTCTTACAGAATTAAGGAATTGGAAACTATAATGTATATTTGAATGGCATGGGTGAAATAAGCATTTTGTGTGCTGATGTGTATATCCAACAAAGGTTTCTCCTAAAACAGCTTTTTTTTTCAACCTTATTTCACTGCACACTTGAACTTTAAAGAAACTTGTTAAGCACAGGTTCGGGGCCTGTACTAGTTATTAGGGTGCTGGCCACATACACCGGGGCTGGTGGGTTCGAACCTGGCCTGGGCCTGCTAAATAATGACAACTACAACAAAAACGAAAGAGCTGGGCATTGTGGTGGGCACCTGTAGTCGCAGCTACTTAAGCACAAGAGTTAGAGGTTGCTGTGAGCTGTAACTACGGCAACTTTAATGTGAGCAACATAATGAGACACTGTCTCAAAAAAAAAAAAAAATCTGTACAGCGTGCTTAAATTATGTTGATCCTTCCCAAAGGGAGAAAAAGAATATACTTAACTGTGCTTTGAACTTTTTTCAAAAATAATGATCTTTAAAAATTTTCTCAGCACACCTAAGATCTGTTTGTGGCACACTGGCTGTAAAACACTGAAAGGAACAGAGCATGTTCAAAATGCATGACAAGCCCAAAACTAAGGGCAAGAAAAAGCTCATTTTAAAAGTTAAGGAATCCTGATTCCAAACATTTCTATATGTGCCAATATTCACAATTAGTGTATCATACTATTGAGCCCATACAGTTTTGGGGGGGGGAAATAACCTTATGAATAGACAGAGTGGATAACAACTGTTAGGTCATACTGAGTTCACTTTGCTTTATAAAGCCTATCAATTGACAAACATTTTGAAAGTTTGGCAGTTTAATGAGACATTTTGTATAGTATTAGTGGAAGTGGTAATCCATGGTTTCCTATGAAGTTGACCAGGTTAGGTGCATTGGCTCACACCTGTAATCCTAGCATTCTGGGAGGCGGTGGCGGATGGATTGCTTGATCTCAGGAATTTGAGACCAGCCTGAGCAAGAGAGACCCTGTCTCTAAACATAGCCAGGTATTGAGGCACACACTTACAGTCCCAACTACTTGGAGGCTGAGACAGGGATCACTTGGGCCCAAGAGTTTGAGGTTGTGAGCTATGGTACTACAGCACTATACCAAGGGGTACAAAGTGAGGCTCTTGTCTGAAGAAGTTGTTGAGCAGTAAGTTTTGACATTTGGTGAAGTCATAATTGTAGAAATACAGTTCTGAGAAGTGAGGTGATTAGTAGAGACATGTATATGATGCTCTGAAAATCTAGACATTTGATTAAAAGCAAGCATATTCACCCACATCACTAGGATAATTTCAGGTTGCAGGTAAGTTAACTTGAGCATAGGTTAGTCCAGTGAAAAAGTTAACCCATGAAATGGTGAGTACTAGCTAGGTTCCTTTAGCTGTTTATAGAAGGGCCTTAAAGTTTTAATACTGTTCATGTAGTATCAAGGGGTTTGATGCTTGTTAACACAATTCAGAGAATCCTCTATAAGGGAAAGTATGTAATTATATATATTTAGACATAAAAGTGGGTGTGTGTTTAGAATGGAAAGTAATTATTATTATTATTATTTTTTGAGACAGCCTCAAGCTGTACCCCTGGGTAGAGTGCTCTGGCATCAGCTCACAGCAACCTCCAACTCACGGGCACAAGCGAGTCTCCTGCCTCCACCTCCCAAGTAGCTAGGACCACAGGTGCCTGCCACAATGCCTGGCTATTTTTTGGTTGCAGCCATCGTTGTTTGGCAGGCCTGGGCTGGATTCAAACCCACCACCTTAGGTGTATGTGGCTGGCGCCTTAGCCGCTTGAGCCAAAGGTGCCGAGCTGAAAAGTAATTTTAAATATCAGCCCTTTAAATTTCAGAGATGTTCCAGTTAATAAGTCTTATTTTGTCTTCATACTCTGCTTTGAATGACAGCAATTTTGTACTGTTTTCAGTATAATTTAATCTTTAGTTGATCAAAATATTTTTGATAGCTAATGTGCCCCCCCCAAATCAAAAAGTATAATCCACTACGTTTTTGACAGCAAGCTTCCAGTTGGTTGGGAGTCAATGAGAACTGAGTCCTTTACTTAAACTTTACAACTAACCAACTTGTCTCTACATTCCAGTTCTCAAAATCCCGTCTTCATTTGACTTTTGGTCCTACTATTGCATGTCATGACCAGATGAAATGGTGGGAGTATTCCTGGAAGCCATTCATACAATAGGACGTCTAGGCAGTAATTTAACTGTATAAAAAGCCAACTAATTGTGTGCCCAACTATCCTTTTACTTAGCTTATAGTCGCCGCAGCACTCCTCTAAATGGAGGAGTATCTAAATGGAGTTTAGTATCTGCCAATTTTGTGAAAACATGATCAAGTTAAACATTGTTAGGGACCCTCTTCCAGGGATTAGTTGTGATAGTGGGCATAAAAAGCAACCTGGCATGTAGAACGTGTTAAAAGAATTATCGAGGGACCGGGTGCAGTGGCTCATTCCTATAATTCCAGCATTTGGGAGGTGGCGAGCCGGTGTGCCACCAGCCTAACAACAGCAAGACCCTTGTCTTAAAAAAAAAAAAAAATCCGCTGAATGGTGGTACTCCTTAATCTCGGTTACGCTGGAAGCTGAGGCAGAAGGATCACCAAAGGTATTATAAAAGTAAACATGCTGGTTCTGAACCTTTGGTAGAGGTGACAATGGTGTCCCAGTAAAGTGAAGTCTATGACGAACATCCTGAAACAGCGTATCTCACAATGCGATAGGTTAGAAGTTGAATGTGGTTTCTTTAATTCCATGTAGTTTCACTTTGTGACTTGGAAAAGAAGAAAATATTTTTTTCTTCAGTACTTTGTAAAGTATATTTACATAAATTAGCTTTTGTATTCTTCATAGCAAGTGAGATTATTAACACTGTCACTTCACACATGAGGGAGACAAAGAGGTTATGTGACTTTCCATAATTGTCAACTAGGCTCTCAGTTGGATCTGATCATTTTAATCTAACATTTGAGTTCTCTTCCCACCACACTCCAGGATTTTTCCAAAGAGAGAACCCTTCCTCACAAAACCCAATATTTATTGCCAAAGTGTGACTTCTGAAATAGAAGTAGAAAAACATAAGTCGCCGAAGACCTGGAAGATTGTAGTTCCACGCGCCTCCATCCTTGGCTGTCACCGGCATGAAAGGAGACCGCCAGGATTTCTGAGACGACAAGACCCGCCAGACTGAAACGCTACAGAACCTAGTTAGATCCGGGAAGCCCGGACCAGTCCCGCGAGGACCGAGCTGCCCCGCCCCGAGCTCGCGCGCCGGCCAATCGGCACCCGGGGGCGTTCCCAGGCCTGCTTTCCCGCCCTGGCGGCGTCGGACACCCACGACTGAGGGCGCCCCGGAAGTGGTTCTTCGCGGGGCGGGGACGAGTCAGAGGTGGGGCTTGCGGCGCTCACGCCCCGGGCTCTGGTGCTGGACTGCTCGCTCCGCCGGCTGCTAGATCCGCAGCTAGAGTGTGCTGAGTGTTCGCGGAGCCGCGCCCATGTCCTCCGTGCTGTCCTACGAAAGCCTGGTCCACGCAGTGGCCGGAGCCGTGGTAAGGCGGGCCGCAGCGGGGCGCGGGGTTTCTCAGGGGCCCGTCCTGGAATGTGGCTGCGGGGTGGCTGTGAGGGAGACACCGTGTGGCTTGGGGTCTTCTGTCTTGACTGTAGGGCAAAGAGAAATGGACATAGGCAGAAAGTTGCTGAACAATTTGGGGTGAGTGCCGACACTCCGCCTTCGTCCCTGACCGCCTTGAAACTGAGATAGGGACCTGCAGTGGTCGCACACTCCCGCGGACAGTTTGGGAGGAGAAACTTGCTGTTTTCTTTGCCTTCTGAAGTTTAAAGCCAACCCACCCTACCGCACTTAGAAAATTCCTCACTGGGTTGGAGGTGGAGGTAGGTGTGAAACTTAGTTAAATGCATATCCTCACACGCCACTGTGCCACAGGCAAACGGCCATACCTAGTAGGACAACTCTGGCCAGCGCTACTGGCAGAAGATAGGTGTTTGGGTTTGTTTGTTTTTTTTTTTTTTTTTAGAGACAAAGTCTCACTTTATCGCCCTCGGTAGAGAGCTGTGGCGTCACAGCTCACAGCGACCTCCAGCTCTTGGGCTTAGGCGATTCTCTTGCCTCAGCCCTCCCCCTCCTCCCCCGGTATTTATTTTTTTTAAAAAACTGAGATCAGGGTTGCCTTCTACTCCCAGTGCGATTTACTGTAAGGTGTGCGCTTGGTTCTCAGGCTTCAGGATGTCTAGGTTCCATTTGACACCCCCTTTCCTTGAAACTTCGCGCTCTTGGCTTGAGTAACTGCCCTCTGGTTCTTCTTTTATCTCCTTCTGCTCCTTCTCTTATCCCTCACCGTCGATGCGCACCTGTGGCAGTTAGAATCACTGACTTCAGAGGATGCTTCACTGAATGCTCTCTTTAGCCTGTGTTCTGTGTAAACTAATGCCAGCTTCCCCATTTGTTGTCTAGGTGGCCTATAAACTTCACTTTCCTAATCTCTAAGGTGGAGGAAATGATACCTACCCCACAGAGTTTTTTTTGAGAATTAGATGACACAATATTTCATAAAAGTGCCTAGTTCAGAAGACCTGGTTCATTCTGTTCAACCGAAAGAGCTTTTCAGTCAGTGTAAAGGTCTGAGATGGAAGCTTGCTTGATTTGCCTAAAGATGGGCATGGAGCCCTGTGGGGGTGGGGGGAATGGAAGAAACAAGAGGCAGGTAGGTTTCAGGAGACCAAATTGTGAGACTTTCACTCTGAGCAGAGAGGAGAACTAGCTGTTGAAATTGGTGATTTACATTTTAAACAGGATTGCCCTGGCTCCTCTGTTGAGAATAGAGTGTAAGCGAATGATGCTGGCTTGAAACAGGATGATAGCAGTTGTGGTGGTGAGAAGTGATCATTGACCTGGAATATATAAGATGATGGCTGGTTAACTTGAAAGGTTTTTGATTTGAGTGACTGAAATAATGGTGTTCCCATTTATGGAGATAGCAAAAGCTGTGAAGGAGTAGGTTTCACAGAGGGGTTTGGATTTGAACTAAAGTTTGAAATGCCTGAGAGTAGTCATGAAACTTATTGATTAGGTAACCAAAGAAGTGAGCATGGGCTGAGAGAAAAATCTCAATGAGTGAGCCTTGGAGCAGGCTAACATTAAGAGGATGGAGAAATATGATCACTTCTATAAAAAGAGGCAAAGGAAGCACCAGTACTGCAGGAGGAAAACCAAGAGAGTGTTCTGCATATCAGATGAAGAAAGCGTTTCAGGGAGAAGGATGTAGACCAACTGGGTCAGATGCTGCTAATGGATCAGGTAAGGTGAGGACTGAGAATCATCTGAAAATGTATTATGTTGATAAATCCAGTGGTCAGTTGAAAGACCATTTTGGGATGAAAAGTTGAAGTACATCTGAGAGAGAATGGGAAGATGGAAAGTGTTTGTTTCTTTTCTTTTCTCTCAGTAAATGCCATTCATTTAATACTTCTTTTGAGTGCATTCTGTGTGGATCACTGTTTCGATGTTTACATTTCATGTTGCTTGTTCACTTCCTTCCAGGTTGTATGCTCTCTGACATTACGTGTGATGTTAAGCATATATATACACATACATATATATTTTGAGACAAAGTCTCACTCTGATACTGAGGCTAGTGGCATTAGCCTAGCTCACCTCAAACTCCTGGACTCCTGCCTCGCCCTCCCTAGTAGGTGGGACTACAGGTACCTGCCACAATGCCCAGCTAGTTTTTCCATTTCTTAGTAGAGACTGATCTCAATTTTGCTCAGGCTGGTCTTGATCTCCTGTTCTAAATTGATCTTTACACCTCCCAGAGTGCTAGGTTTACAAGCGTGAGGCACCTCACCTACCCTATACACACATATTTTAAAAATTAAAATAGTAGCTTTAAGTGTCCTGTGGCACACCTTAGGATAATTACAGATAATCCTGAGTATCTCCAAATTAGAATTATATTACTTCAGGAAGATGCTGTATCTCCAGCTGCTAATTATTATTATTATTGTTGTTATTATTTTGAGACAGAGTCTCAAGTTGTCGCCCTGGGTAGAGTGCTGTGGCGTCACAGCTCACAGCAACGTGAAACTCTTGGGCTTAAGCAATTCTCGTGCCTCAGCCTCCCAGATACCTGGGATTACAGGCACCCACCACAACGCCTGGCTAATTTTTTTTGTTATTGTTGTTGCAGTTGTCACTGTTGTTTTAGCTGGTCCATGTGGGGTTTGAACCTACCAGCCTTGGTGTATGTGGCCAGTGCCCTACCCACTGAACTACAGGCACCACCCAGTTGCTAATTATTATATGATATATTTAGTGGCTTCATGTTTAACCCTTTGGCTGTGCTCAGAAACAAAACATGCCAGTTTTGCCTGCGGGATCTCAGTAACCGTTAGGATAAAGGGCGTTATTGTGATAAAACAACACTCCTAACAGAAATATGAATCCTTTTCATGATTTTTGTGAAACTTTTTGTATTTGCAAAATGGACAATACCTATAGGTGTCATCAGCACCAAATGAACATCTTTTTTTTTTTTTTTTTT